CCGATCGTTGAAACGATTGACCCTATTCTCCCACAGTTTATCTCGCATATTTATACGTGTACAAATATAGTATTTCTTCCTTTCTTCCTTTTCCTGTAATCATTCAGACTTATAAATATCAAAAATTTAAGCAACATGATGACCATTGTAAGGATGTAATGAACAGAATAAATGTAATTTTGTGTACGCATAGTAGAAGGACCTGTATTTTATTATAAAAAACAAATTGTAGGACAAACAACATGCAAAGCATATACGAATGTAGGGTACGCGTGCTCTCTGCCGCAATATTTTCTTGTACGCCGTTATTTTAAATGCAATGTCGCCGCAAAAATACCAGTCCTCGTACATTTAGGAAAATATCACTGCACCACGGTTTGTTAACCAGTAAGAGTATTTCTGTGTAAACAGCCGCGTAATTGCTGTGGACGGTGCAAACGCTTTATTGCTGTGGGCGTACATATTATTAGATATATAGAGTAACCGTTTGCGCGTTCTGGTTGCGCTCGCTTGCTTTTCGCCGGTTCGTTAGAGCATGACACACCCTTGTTAATTCTGGCACAATATTTAAGCAGAGGTTCATAACCATTATCCGCCCACGGTAGCCGCGATAAATCGCGTAAGCCCAACAAACAAGGTGCTAGTTATAATCGAATCGTAATTTTACGTCAACAATTTTTCAATCAACTTACAGTATCGGCCAATATCTGCAACCATGCTCGGCAAACATATCGTATGGCCAGGCAGAATGTTTATATTTTTATACGTATATATATATATATATATATATATATATATATAACGTGTAAAAATATAAACATTCATTCTTATATATATATACATATATATATATATATATATATATATATATATATAAATCTTCCGCGAAAAGAGTAAGCCTGAGGAATATCGAGTGCGTTTCGATCGTCTAATGGCTGCGCGGTCGATGATGGCGACTGTTTTTCATCAAAAGTACGTGGAAAGCGAAGTACGGTCGGCGAAGTTGACTTTAGCACCGCCGCTGCGACGTGATTATTCAGTTCGCGCCGTTTTGCATTAAAGAAGAGAAACTACGGAAAATACGGAGTAACAGAGAGCGCGAAGCTGCTCCTCTAGTACTCGACTAGACACTCAGCTAGAGCTGCTTGATAATATGGAAGGCACTCCGGATGAATGAATATCGCGGGATGGTTTATGAAACGAATACAGGCACAATGATTCGTCGACAAAAGCAATTGAAGAGGATGGGTTTTAAAGTGCTCGGCACGTCTAATTTAGTCGGCATTATTTGCTAATATGACACGATTTGAGGGAAATAAATGTTAAATATTTGTTGGAAATTGAAGACCGCAGTCGCGGATGTTGTCAAATACTCGGCCGAAAACTATCCAACAATCGCAACAGTTTGATTTTATGGTAAAATCATTACATCTTTAATTCTGATATCATAATAAGTAAAGGTATTCTATCAACAAGCAACTGATTGATCCAATTCATATATTTTGCAAGTAGAATTTTCTCGCTTTTGTAAAAAAAAATATAATACTGAAATTAACATTTAACTTTTCCAATTGAAAGACGAGTTAGCGTAAGATATCAAAGGAAATACGAGATTATTTAACGGTATAACAGTTTTACAAGCGACACGTCTCTCGCATCACGCGAGATGCGTAGCACACGATTCTATCCATTCTCGCGCAAATTCTCTGAATTCTTGCAATTAAGCACATTCCAATGCTTATTCACCTGCTGATGTAAAAGGAAATGAAATGTCGAATGGAACTCTACTCAAGATAATGCAAAGAGAAAGAGAAATGGAGAGAGAAAGAGAGAGAGAGAGAGAGGGAGAGGTAAAGAGAGTAAGAAAAATCAGCCGCTTCCGAATATCCGGATACCGAACCATCCGCTTTAAACTACGCGAGTCATCGCGAGCTTTCCTTCGTTTCGCGCACGATCAAGAGAGCTTTCGGAACGCTCGTTGATATATAAAGCTTTATTAATGGACTAACGTCCGCCGCCGCAGGCCACCAAAGTGGACAGAGTCGACCGGAATAACGCGTTAGCTCGCTTACCGGAAAATGCGTCGACCCGGCTCGTTCGTCGGGTGTTCCGCAAACTAGGTATGTCACTTTTCTACAACGATCGGAGCTTAATCGCGTTTAGTCGGAACGCGTCAAGCTGCGCGTCGTTTCGCTTACCGGAAATTGCGTCGATGGGAAATATATTGTCTCGTCGGAGAATGCGAGGACCAGATACATTTTCCCGTAAAACATCTCGTCATCGTGGAGATCAAGACTAACTGTGTAAATAATAACCGCAAGCTAAAATTCCGCGAGATTTCTTTCGAAATGCGATAGATCTTCGACAAATGAACGAGACAAGCAACAATAATGGCTTCTTGGTGGGAGCAACGTTGACTTGAAGGCGTAAACGATCTCACGTGCCCGCTATAGATCCTAAGTATCCGTCGGGAAATTATTCGCGACTTAAACGGGCGCCGTCACAGCTATCGCCACCATTACTGGGGCACACCACCATCAACCCCCCACCACCATCGCTGCCATTATCATCGCACCACAACTCCCATCGGCACCGGCGACGTTACCGTTTCGTGCTTCTGACACCGAGGCAATACACCGGCGACTTATGAATATTTACGCCAGTTGAATATGCATACCACTGACAATGTATTATTTTTGCTCCACGGGAGATCAATATACTACCGCACGACACACATATACGGCGAAGGCAAAAGTGTACAATGGGAGCGCGTGAGTACATGGGGTGTTCGAGTTTCACTCCAATCGCTAATGATAAAGGATTCATTGGACAAAAAGCAATAAAAACGCGTACAAGGCGAAATATCTCTCCATTAGAAACAAAAATATTATTTTTAACTCGAGAAGAATATTTCTATTTTTTTAAAGAGATAATTAATGTTTCTTTATCGTTCTAAAAAAAATTTCGAAGAAAGATGCAACAAGTTGCAATCTTTTAATTTCTGTCAAGATAAACTCGAAATTTCTTCAAAAAATTGATTATTGATGATTCACTAAAAGTAAAAGAATAACCTAGATATCAGTACGCTTATCAAATTTATGAATGCATATACGGATACGCATATATAGCATGCATACAAAACTATTTACGACCACGTGCAACGCATATAACCCGTATTCGACGTTTCGCCGAACGTTGAAAATTCGTCAAACGTGACTGAAGCAACGGCGATGAGCGCTATATAAAACATATATTTTTTAACGTGTACCGATACGTTCTATCGTGCGAAATTCGCGGCTGTAAAAACCGAGCCGACGACCATCACAATCGGTACTGTGAGAGTAATTGCATCGTGCTACGAATACTGATCATAGATGATAAAAAGAGAGAGAGAGAGAGAGAGAATATTGTAAAAAATAATTCTGACCAATCAATGAATAAATTTCACGCATGTAGTGTTAAACAATTCTAAGTTCTCAATAACGGATATATATTGATGGCGTTTATGACGCGAGTGTCAAAATGTCACGCGATAACATTCTCGCGAGTGTGGTGAAAATTAGCTGGAAACCTATTTCGTCCGCGAGAACCTTCGTTCTCGTCCGTTGCATTCATCAAGAAACGATCATCGGTGCATTATGACCGCTCGCCGTGACCGATGTGGCACCGGTACACAGGAATTAGCCATTAAGCGGAATGACGTGCGATTTCTCGAGAGACGATTTCCGCGGTGAAAGGAGACTGCTGGAGAAATTTAATGCGCCTCGCGCACTCGAAAAAAGAATGAGGGAGGGGGAGAAAGGGTGGTGGTCCTGCGGCACCGTAATTCAATTAGACTCGCTGCATCGAAATTTAATGGGCCGCGACGCTGCAGCTTCGCTTTGGATCGGTGCCACGGCGCGTCCAAACGCGGGCCATGTCCGATGCAGAAAGGGCACAACGCGGCGCACGTTGCACGCCCTTTTGTGTGCCCGAAGGACCCGGCAGAAGTACTTGAAAAGAAAACAAGAACAAAAAAAAAAAAAAGAAAATGGGCGCACTTTACGTGTGCACGTACACTAAGCGAGTGTTTCCGCATGAGTAAATGTGTGAGTTTTCTTTTCGTGAAAGAACGAACGTGGTGCATTTATTTAACAAGTTACTTCAATGCATATAAATATATAAATGTGTATATAAATATATAAATGTGTACATATATGTATAAAGTATATATCAATGAAAATGTCAATCTAAAAATTATTTAAAAGTTTAAAAATCCGTGAAACGACAGAAATTAAAACTACACTTTATATATTATGTCCTGTAAAATAATCCCTATACATATATCCGCTTTCATGTCATATTTGAGTTATGTGCGACATGTATCAAATATTACTACATATGCCGTTTTCTATTTATCTCCTAGAAACATTGTAATTTATGAATATGTAAAGAGTACATACTTTTTCAGAGACATCCATAAGACGCGACGATATTTATAAATTTGTTTACTATGTGCAGTTATTGTAACGAATAAATCGAAATTAGTATTACGAAGCCGAATATGTTTAACTCATCATTCAACATTGCATTCGCTGGTTATTGAATGGGATATTGAAAAATCTCGGTGAGACTCTGATACTCTCTTCGTTCCCATCTTCAAAGGAAGCGCGCATCTTGCGATATTTGATTGAAAATTCTTGAATTCAATATGAACATGGCGAATTACGTCAAGCGTAAAAATTATTGCCAAAAAATGCGCGCAGCCAATATCGATTAAAATTCAATAGGGTGTGTTTCGGAAAGTTACGAATTGTTCGAGTTTTTCAGTTTTCATTTCAATTTTGTCCATTTAGTTTTCCAAATGTTTCAGATTCTCCGCTTTTTTTGTAACGCAAAAAATTTCGTTAATCGTAACTCTACAGTTAACAGAATAAACTTTTACCAAATCGCGTTAGCTCTTATAACCATATTTAAAAACTCCATCTCTTAAATAAGAAATATCAATGAATTTCACTCACCTTCCTCGTCGATGGAGAAGATGCCGACGCCGTCGCCTCCTCGGATGCTGTAGCCAATCTTGGAATCTCCGCCTGGTGGATCCGCATCCTTCGCTCGAACCGTGGTGACGAGGGTGCCGACTGGTTGGTTCTCGAAGACACTCGCGGACACGACAAAGTCGTCGAAGACCGGCGGATAAAGGTTCTCGTTCACGTCAATCACTTCGATCACGAGCAACGTCTCGGAGGACAAGGACGGTTCACCGCGATCGCGCGCGACTATCGTCAGCGTGTGCGCCTGACGCTCTTCAAAGTCCAAGCTCTGAGTTGTTCTCACCGTTCCGGAAATCTTGTCGACCTTGAAGAAGCCCTCGCTTTCCATAGCGTCCGATAAAAAGTACTCCACGTCGCCGCCCGCGCCTTCGTCGGGATCGGTGGCGTCCACGACGGCTACGACGGTCCACACCGGCACGTCCTCGCGAATCTTGACGTTGTAAGTCGACAGAGCGAAGGTGGGCGCGTTATCGTTGACATCGTCGACCGTCACCCTGACCAACGCGTCCGAGTACAGAGACGGGTTATTAGAATCCTTGCCGCCGTTATCGCGCGCGCGAATCCTCAGCTCGTATATCTCTTGCCGTTCCCTGTCGAGCTTCCCGAAGACGCTCAGTATACCCGTCACGGGATCCACGCGAAAGTCATTGGTCTCCGTCACGAGGGAATAGGTGACACGCGCGTTATCGCCGAGATCGGCATCGGTGGCGTTGGCGCGCCACACGTTCGTGCCATTTAGCGCGGTCTCGGAGATCCTGAAGCTCGCCAGGGACTTCTCGAACCTGGGCGCGTTGTCGTTGACATCGAGGATGATTACCGGCAGCATCTTCGAGGCAGACTTTTGCGGCTTGCCGAGATCGAACACGCTTATATTCAGATAATACTCGCTCTCTCGTTCGCGATCCAGATAACCGATCGTGTTGAGGTCACCGGTGTCCGGATCGATGCCGAAGACGGAATCGCGGTCCCCGCTGGAGATGACGAAGACGAGTTTGCCGTTGTAATCAAGGTCGCGATCGCGGGCGCGTATTCGCACGAGAGTCGTGCCGAGCTTGAGCGACTCGTTGACCCGTATCTCGCTCGGGAAATCAATGAACTCGGGCGCGTGCACGTTCTCGCCGTAACGACTCGGTATCAGGGTGTACTCGTCGTTCCGCGACGGCATGTTGTTCCTCTCCGCGGAAGCGATCGCGTCCGTCAGTCTACGAGCGACGCCGGTGTCGTGGCACTCGAAAGCGCCGGTCTCGTCCGTGAGAATCCTCGCTTGCGAGCCGAGATTCCGTTTGGCGTTCACGAGATGCATGTGCACGGGATTGACGTCGGCGAAATGCGTGCCGTCGGTGGCGGTAACGTTGATGATCCTCTCGGTGGCCTTGATGTCCGACAGATCGCAGGCGACCGACAAGACGCCGCTGGCGGAGTCGAGAGCGAAGCAACCATCCGCATTACCGGAGACTATCCGATAACTGACGATGTTCCCGGCGTCGAAGTCGATCGCGGACACGGTGATAATCTCGGAGCCGATTGTCACGTATCGCGGCACGTGACCGATACAGTCGATCCTCTCGAATTGCGGTCGATTGTCGTTCACGTCGCGCAGCTTCACCCGCAGTTGCATCTCCGCCTGTCGCCGATAAGGCAGACCCCAATCGCTCGCTCGCACATGTAGCAGATACTCCCGTTTCATGGTCTCGTAATCGAGCACCTGTTTCGTCTTGACGATACCGGAAAAATGATCGATCTCGAACGGCACCATCTTCAAGTTGTCGATACTGTAAGATATGTAGGCGTTCTCCCCGGAATCGCGATCTTTCGCTGTCACTCGTACGACGGACGTGCCGGCAGGTTCGTTCTCGTCCACCCACACCTCCATTTCCGGCTGATCGAAGATCGGATCATTGTCGTTGGTATCGACCACATTGATCTTCACCTTGGCCGAGGATTGCTTTCTGGTGCCCGCGTTACCCTGATCGATCGCCGATACCGTGAGCGTGTAAAAGGCCTTCTTCTCCGCATCCAGCTCGACGGCGGTGTACAGCATACCGGTCTCGGCGTTCACGTAAAACTCGCCACCCTCGTTGCCGCCCACTATCTCGAGATAGACCAACGCGTTTCTACCCTCGTCCGCGTCTGTGACCTTCAGTCTGATCACCGGCGTGTTGACGGGCGCCGTTTCCGGGACCTTGACCTCGTAAATCTCGCGGCTGAACACCGGCGCGTTATCGTTCACGTCGGTCAGATGCACCGGTACGAATTTGTAGCTATATCTCTGCGGGACCCCGCGGTCCATCGCGCGCAGAGTGAGATTATAACCTTGGAGCGCGGTTTCGCGATCGAGCAGGTGAAGCACCTCGATATTGTACTCGCCGGAACGAGGCACGCCGACCGGGCGCACCCTGAAGTGACCGGCCGGGTCTCCGCCCACGATCTCGAGACTCGCGATTTGCCCGTGCACACCCTCGTCGCGATCGATAACCCGCACGATCGCGTAAATGTCGGCGTTCGAGTTCTCCACGATGTCGGGCAGCTGATGAACGTAGATCTCGGGCGCGTACAGATTCACCTGTCGCACCCTGATCGTGACCCTCGCGGTGCTCGCGCGGCTGGTGCCGACGCTGCGAAATAGAGTGCCGCGATCCTTCGCTACGACTACTAGCTCGTGTATGGCGCGTTCCGCGTACCTAATCAAAAAAAAAGACGTTTGCTCACGTTTCGTACGTATCATATTCTATAGACGATTTATAGAGAGCAAAATACAAATTTTGTTTTAGTATTCTAAGTAAGCTTTGTTGAAGTACATAAACATGAAAAATTACAATTGCGAGGTATAATAATATATATAGAAAAAAATAATTCAAGTATAATATATACATAACAATTATATCAATAACAATTAAAATTCGAACATATCGTATTTTTAAAGACTTAATGCGAACATAAGTTTAGATAAAATGGCAAAAAAGAATTACTGATGCATTATAAAAACAAATAAAAAAGTTAATTATTTTTATTTGCGAATTATTCATTCTGTTTAAATTTTTCTTGAGATATGTGACAATGCAAGCCGATCAAACAATTTGGTTCGTCCAAATTATATAAATTTGAAACTCGAGTTTCTGTTTCAAACTATTTGAACAGTTCGATCACGTATTTTTTTTTCTCATTGCTCTATTCATGAATACGCGTGACTTTCTATAAATCCGAGATAAGGAGAAAATACGTCGTAATACTAACCTGAGTGGTCTCGTGAGCGTTATTACGCCACTGACCGGATGAACGGCAAACTGATCGGTCTCCTCGGCGAAGCTATAATAAATCTCGCCGTTTCTGCCGAGATCGGCGTCCTCGGCGATTACCCTGAGTATACTGCGATGCAAAGGCGTGTCCTCCGTCACGGTGGTCTCGTACTCGATCGGATAGAAGAGCGGATTGAGATCGTTCGTGTCGAGGATCGTCACCACCACCGTCGCGTCCGCGATCGTTCCGCTCTTACCGTCGTGTCCGTTCAAGGTGGCGCGCACCTCGAGGACGTATCGGTCCTTGCGCTCGCGGTTCAGCACGTCGACGTTACTAGTTCGAGTCCGAATGAGGAGAAAGCAAAAATCGCCGACGGTGCGCTCCTCCGCTTTAAAGAACTTGTCGCGATCACCGCTCACTATACGAAACTTAATGTCGACGTCGCTGTCGGCGGACGCGAGCTTTATGCCCATCCTCTCGCTGGGCAGGACATACGTCTTACCGATGGAATTCTCCGGAATGGAGACGTTGTACAGGGGTTGAGTGAAACGAAACTCGGACTTCGAAACGACACTCGCGTCATCCTCGAACGGCGGAGTCGTCGCGACAATCGATGACTTGATCGAGCCGTCCCCGACTCCTCCGCGTGACGGCAAAAAAGTCGTCGGCACGGAAGACGGAGAGCCGGCCGTGGCCGCGAACAACCACAGCCACAACCATGGCCAGGCGTGCAACACGCGCTGCTTTATCTTACGCATGATGGTGTCGCTAGCTCATCGTCGGTTCTGGTCGACAAACACTTCCGCCCGATTTGCCCCCCGTTCGGCAGAACGAGGCCACTGCGAGAGACACCAGACTTCCGGTCCCGTTTCGCGTATCGGCGGCGGTCACCTGAAACAGTAAACAGTGCCGAAGTTAGACGAAGCGACAAGTTAAGCCAAAGGAGGGAGAAAAGCCCGCGGTAGTTTAGTACGTGGGGTACGGTCGAACGGCAAGATCCAAGATTATCTCCGATGACAGCTACCGGCTTCCACCCGATCGAGCGCGAAGACTAGACGGTTTAGCGGAGGAAGTTTCGTTGGAACGAGCGAAGGGAGGAAAGAGAAAGGACGCGGAGAGACGTTGTGCATTATTGATCGATGAATAAGTATATGCACGAGACAGCAAATAAATCATTGGAGGAGTGAGAAAGTAAGTTGCAGAATGTGCAGGAAACGAATGCCGTATGCTCTCGAATTATTTATTGATGAGACACTTAACTTCAAATGGACTCAATCGTCCATTTCGCGGAATTTCGCTGGACGTAAAAGAGGCAATCAAATGCAATTATGTGTCGTTATGTCGCTTCGGTGAAACGTGATTGTGATGGAAGAGTGCTGTAAAATATTCACATATCAAAATCCGAATTAAAATTCTGTTAACATTACAGCGCGCGATCGATCGAGTTCTCTTTTTGAAATTCAGGTAAAAGAAATTCTGGTTAAAGATTATTCTTTAAAGATAAGCTATATTTTGCTTCTATATGTATTCTCGAAAAGAACTATACTCTTCTAGATGTGATATAAAAATAGAAAAAATTGTGATATTTAACAAATATCCAAATGGCTCTGTTAACAATATACAAAATATAACTAATGAATTTATAATATAAATTGATAAATTTTATATATATTTGATTTATACAAGATATTTATAAATTTTATTTATTTTATTTACTTTATTTATTTTATTTGTTTTATTTGTAATACATATCATTTTATAATATATTTTATAATTTACAAAAAATATTTATGTATAATAATATATATTTAGATAAAATAATATACGGTTTCATATTTAATTTTTATTTATAAAATTTTATTTATCTTTAACAGAGGGGTGATGAAAAGTAAATAAAAATGATTTTAAAATAGGAAAAATATTATTTTTTCAAAAGTATACCAAGCCTCGGATGCATCAACGATTTCTCACGAATTTAGCCAGCGCAACTATCATTTCCCCGCCTGACAGTTTCAGAACCAAAGTTCCGATATCAGAGCGGCTCGTGTCAGGATGTAGGCGAAATACGATATGGGTGCCAGGATTTTGCCTATCTTCCTAGTGTCCTCCACTCGAATTCTCTCTAATCTTGACCAGCAATGCCTCCGGCCGCGTTTGCAGAGTCGATATATCTCGCGGCGCATTTGACAGCTCGATATCGATACGATATCCACCCTTGCAATAGGAACGATACCATTACGTCAATAAAAGCGTGTCTGAATAAATAACACGGCTGGCTGTCCGTTATTAAAAGCGTTTCCAGATGTTCGCTGACGCTGTACATGACTTGTTAATTTCAAATTATCCATCGCCATCAAGTTTCGAAAATGAGAAAAACGATAATAATCGGAATAAGAACAAATAAGAATCGCGCTTTAACAATCGCATAATTATCTCCCGAAGATAAAACGGGAGCCTGAGATCGCCTCGTTCCTCGTGACTGGCAAAATTGTTGGAGACGAGATTATTTTCCGCACGCTCGTATTTGTAAAGCGACGTCGTGATCGTGATTATTAAAGGTGGCGATCTTTAATAACAAATCGAAGAAAGAGATTGGGGCTTTAAAGCGTCTAAAACATGGGACACCCAGCTTTTTTACGCGTCTCGGTGAATTGCTCGCTCACGCGAAACCTTCACGCGTACTCGACGTCAATTACACAGTCGCTGATTCGTAATCGGCGTAATAAAAAGCACTTTAAACTACGGCGCGTTTTTCTCCTCCTTCCGCAATTCCCGCGTGCTACGCTGCAACTTTCCACGATAATGTATCTGGAGAACGCTCGCGCGCGCGCGCATGCACAGGTAAGTGTAAGTGAACAAAAAAACGAGACGAGACGAGCAAGCGAGAGCGAGTCCGCGCCAAGTTGGCGCCTTCTGAACATTCGCGTTATGTCGCTACCGCGTTCGCGCAGCCTTGAATGCAATCCAACCTTGAATGCGCTGCCGACCGGTTGACATCTCCTCGTATTTCCAATCTCGGCACCACGTTAATGAGATGTCTCGTTTCCCTTTTGCAGGCGGACCGAAAATTCCGGAATAATCTATCGTTTATTATCGCAGAGCTTAGCTAATATTTCCAACAATGCAGAAAGTTTCAAGAAGGGAAAGATGTGCTACGAGAATCAGAAAAACGCGCGTATCTTAAGAAATATTTTTGACAAAATAACTTAAAAAATAGTTTTATAATATTTTTGAATTATAAATATTAATTAAATTTCACAAAGTCAGTAATATTAACTGCAAACACGGGACAACACTGAAAATGTTAATCAACATTTTCGACGGTATATTTTCACATTAACGCGACAATGTTTGTCCCTGTATCAAATATGCTCTTCAGCAAGCACGTCGACCGCGGAATACATTTTCCTCGAATTTATACTGCTGCATCATACGGTCAAGTCCAGAGGAAAATCCCGTTGCAATCTTCCCAAATGTATTTGCATACGACGCTGGATATACAGAAAGACTCTACGCGACTCCGCATGCATACGTAAATAAAATCACGTTTCTTTCGCATCCGCTTAAATTCACTCCGCGGGAGGATCAACGAACAGACGAATAGAAAATAGATCGGGACGTTGGAGTCCAATTTCTTTCGCGATTTCTTCTTCAAAGTTCGGCGTCACTCACGAGAAAGAGAGAAACGTTCGTCTGGCTAGCTAGCTAAAGCATGACTATAGTGACAAAGTAGAATTATGCGGATATCGAGAACGAGACGACGGACATCTAAGATTGTACTCGACGGTTTCCCGAAAGACCTCCGTTGGCTTCCTCTCTTTCAAAGGAACCAAGCCGGTGGCGTTGAATTGTAGAAACAACGAACCGTAGCGCGGAGCCTTTGACAGCAGCGTAAAAACATTCGAGCGAAATTACGTGCTCCTTTTTTACCTCTTCCCTCTCTTTCTTTTCCTTCCCGATGAGATTTAGACAGCTTTGAGCTCTTCACGAAGAGCTAAGAAAACGAATGGGTGAATGATTTTTCAAGCCCCGAAGGCGGGTCTTATATCGTTCGGCGATCGCGACAATGCTCGCGTATAGAAACTCGTTTTGCCAGTTAAATCGAGCGTGAATTGCGATGCCGCGTGCAGAAAACTGGAGGTGGGATCCGCAAGAAGGATGGCGAAGGCCGGGAATTTAAAAACGATCGAGGGACCTAGATATATAGCGAACGGGGAAAAAAATCGCGCACGGTGAATCGCTCGAGAATATTCCCGCGATATTTTTTCATACGTACGAACGTGCGTACGTTCGTTTTTCAGCACACTATCGAGGAAAAAATGCAGGAATCGCGCGGCTATGCGAACGACGAGCTGAAACAACATATGCCAACTGCGTATATGTCAATGCATGTGCGATCGTCCGTTTTTGAAGGGCAAACGGGTCACGAAGTGCGCGCGAAAGAGGTCAATACGATGGGGACGATGGAATTAATTTTTTTTTCCAGCTCGAATCTAGTATGTGTCATATCCGTCGTCGTTGTGTGTTACGAATTTCAGTCGGTTTACGGAACAAACACACATCTCGCTAGCCTCATCTCGATCAAGCTTAAAAAAGGCACTGTTCGTTTGCTTGCGCAACGACGTCAAAAATATATTCGACAGTATTGTTATTCCCAAACGTATGCGGCGATGTATAGCTGCCTGTATTCTCGAGTCCTTTAACGAGAAAAAAACATAGAAACGAAGAGACAAATCGGATTAATATCTACTGTTCTCCACCGTATGTTTGCGCGTAAACGTAATCGTTCTGAATTTGTGCCGTTTGGCTTTTATCTCTTTGATACAGCAAAGGAACGCGCCTGTTTGCTGTAATGATACTTGAAAACTTGCAACATTTCCGGTAGCTTTTAATCTGAAAGCAAACTGTTTACTTTCCCCGAAATATTTTCTCGATATAAACTTTTTATAAATCTTATTACTAGAGATATCATTATGTATCAGAGTCTTATTATTAATCTTATCATTTTAGTTCTTTCAGAGAAAATTAATTTTTATGACGGAGAATGAGTGAGCTGAACAAATTTATTTTGATTATCATCCAGAATATTTCGAGAGACTTTTATCCAAAAATTATAATTTTATTTTTTTAATCAAATTAAAAAATAGCATAGTCATTATTATCCATTGCTTTAGAATACTTTAGACTTTAGATCAACAATTTATGTATTCGGCTAATTCGCGTTATCGAAATACTTTGTATTTCTATGCCAATTTTTTATTTCTTACAGATGTTTTGCCTCTTAAAAGCACGCCAGAGTTTTTATAGAATCTTTTCTTATCTCTGAGAAAAAACGAGCCATATGCCAACACGCCCTGTTCGAGATATCTGCTCAAGAGTATAATAAAATACACATTAATATTAAAGTTTCTCGATCAGCTAACGTGCAGAATATTCCAAGCATTTCTACTGTACATATTTTCAGATTTTGAGAAATTCTCTTTTATTTAAACGGGAAGTGACTATTGATAAAAAATTAAAACAAAATCAGGAAATCGTGGCATATGGAGAACATATTGTATTACTCGTATCATCGGCACATTGATGTTTCCTCAATTGAGAATATAATTCGTATACAAACACGATAGAATAAATATATTTATCTAGCGTTCAACGATATTGCAATATTATACAAAATTGCAATAAAAGCATATATCCACTCGGAGAAACCGTTATTCGCCTGATGTTACGAGTATATTTCGAGATGTAGAGAATCTTGAAAGGAAATATATATTACCGCGTCTCGTAATAGACACCGACGTTTCGCTCTCTAGCGGAATTATCCGGATGAGTCTCTTCGACACTTATCGACGATTTGTAGAATCGCGTTTCCCTCGATTCGCCTCGCCTTA